ACCCCTGCAGTTTTTTAGCCTTGCTTAGGTTTATGTAGTTTGGACGTGTACTTAATTTGAATTTATGTAGCATTTGATTATGTTCCCGCTTTTGTAGAACTTACTATATATTATGTAGCTTTTGGATATGTTCTACTTAAGTTTAGCTTTTGTGGAAATATATTTATTAGTATTTCCGTAATTCGATTATGATTTTAATTATCACATGTATTAGGTGCAGGAACATACGCTATTAATGATATTTTTTATTATTGAAATCTATTAGAATGTGTTTGACATGAAAAAACAATTTTGCAACGGAAAAATAAGTGATATTATTAGTCGGAAAAATAAAATTTGCGACAGAAACAAGGGAAGAAATCGGTCGAAAAATTTACTATTTGCGACTGAAAAAAGTCCAAAAATTCTGTTGGTATGTGTTGTATTTTGTGACGGAATATTGATCTGTCGTTAGTTAGCGACCGATTTTTCCGCCGTAAGCTAGCTACGGATTTATTTTCGTTGCAAGTTTCAAATTCAGCGACGGATGTTTTTCGGTTGTAAACTTTAATTTACGACGGAATTTTCCGTCGTTATGGTCATTCCAACGACGGATTTTTCCGTCGTAAAATTGCGACGGAATATTAACAAAAGTCAAAATAATTTCCAACAAACCATTTTCGGTCGGAAAATCCGTCGGAATTCACCTTTCCGACGGAATTGTCCTCGAAAAAACATGTTTTTCCTACCAACTGTTTTCTGACGGAACTCAACGACGGTATTTCGTCGTAAACGTGTTTTGCGACGGATTTTCGAACTTCAGCGACGGATCTTTTCGGTCGGAAACATGCCATTTTCTTGTTGTGTAAGGACGGAACCTCGGGTTTAGTATAGACTCCTTAGAGTGCTTACGGGAAGAATGGGTAATTAGGCATATAGTTTTAAGGCTTAGAATATGAGACAGAGAGAAGAGAATGATTTTTGGTGTAAAAGAGAGGAAGAGAGAAATATTTGATGTCTCGGACTGTAGAAAGGGGTATTTATAGGGAAAATGAGCAGGGGGAACACACGGAACCCTAAAAAGGATAAAACCCTAAAAAAGTTACCGCGACACGGCAGATTCTACCGCGACATGGCAGAAAATCCCGTGACATGGGGGAATATTGTGTGACGCAGGAAATAATTAGGCTACTCGAGATAAAACGCGTGAAGGGTTTAAACGGAAAGGACACAGAGCTGCCGCATGTCACGGTATGTGTACCGTGACTCGACAAAGTCCACCATGGCACGGTACAGTATACCGTATCACGATGAAAAAAATCATGTGGGGAATGACGCGGAAAAGCACCGTGTTACGGTATGCGACACAGTACAGACTTTCGTGACACGGTACCAAGCCCCGTGCCACGTCACTATCCCCCGCGACGCGGTGGTTTTAGTTAATCTACGATAATTCAAGTTTTTTACGCGTTTTTATAACTACGATAACTTTTGATCCTTAACTCAAATTAAGGAATATAATATATCAATGAAAATCTTATCAAGTATACTTTCTAACCCAATTAGAATCAGGTCAAAATAATTTGTAGACTTTAAGATATTGCCGTTTTAGTAGAAGGGTGTCGGTTTTGGCCCGAGTTTATTGTTTGACTCATATCTTTTTCGTTTTAAATCGGAATTGGGATTATGATATATTGTTGGAAATATTATTTCAAGGCCTATCCAAATAAATAATAATTGGATAAAAATTATAAGACCAAAAAATCAGTTTCTCTCGGTTTTGCGATATGGGCACGAAAAGTGGAAAACAAGTTATGGTTTAGGGAAATGAGCTAGGAAATGGATTGGTTTATGAAATGTATTGAATGAAAGCATGGATTTAAGCACTCCAAATATTAAATACTCAACTCGACCAATAATGGCGGTGAAAGGTTGTTCTTCATCAGATTTGGTTTTGGGGAGACATTTTTAGGTGTCTACAAACCTAAATTAAAGTTACACAACAAATCTAAAAATACAAAGTAACCAACCTATACACTTGTCTTTTGAAATAAAAATTATAAAAAATGAAAAAAGTACAATGTTACAAATGAGTAAGCAAAAAACAAAAAAAAAAAAACAATAATGTAGCCGATATGAGCATAAAAAATCCATCTTTTGAAAGGGATTATCTTCATAAATAACATCATAAACATGTTATATAAAGACACAAATAAATTTATTTTTTTAATAGGAAATATATAAAACGGGTAAACGGATATGGGTCCGTGTCCGGGTCCAGGGGTTGGACCTAGATCCAGATCCGTTTTTTTTAACGGGACCCGGATCCATCGGGTCCAAATTTTTAAGACCCATATCCGTAGAAAACGGATCTGGATCCACGGATTAGAGTCGGGTCTAGATCCGCTGCCATCCCTAATTAGCACAAGTGGTCAAAACACTACAAGAAAACAGCAAAATTGCGATGGAAAAAGTTCGTCGTAAACTATGTAAATTCCGTCGTAAAGTTGGTTTACGACGGAATTCTGTCGTAAATGGTTGTCGGAAAACCCTTTGTAGGAAAATGGCCATTTTACGACGGAAATTTCGTCGTAAACCAACTTTACGACGGAATTTACGACGGAGATAATATCGTCGGACTTGGAATTGGCCTTTGATGAAGTTCCGTCGCAAACTTCCGACGGAAAAAGTTCCGTCGCAAAGCTAGATTACGACGGAATTTTCCCTCGCAAAATATAATTTGCGACGGAATTTTCCCTCGCGAAATATAATTTACGACGGAAAATTTCCCTCGCAAAATATAATTTACGACGGAATTTTCCGTCGCAAGTTATAATTTACGACGGAAAATTCCGTTGCAATGTATATTTTTACGACGGAAAATTCCGTCGTAAAATATATTTTGGGAGGGAAAATTCCGTCACAAATTATATTTTGCGAGGGAAAATTCCGTCGCAAATTATATTTTACGACGGAAAATTCCGTCGCAAATATGTAAATTACGACGAAATATTCCGTCGGAAATTGTATTTCCAGCCCAAAACAAATTTTTGTAATTTTCTGCATTTTCAAACCTAAATTTTTTTAATGATAAATTGACAAAAAAAAAAACTAAATATTGAGTCCTAAAATTGTCTTTTTAAAAAAATTAATTACAAACCTACGAAATTAGGGTTATGTACATATATATATAATAATTATGTCCTAGTACAAAAGATAGTCCACATTTTGGTATCTGTACCAAACAAAAGCTAGGTTAGAGTGATTCTATGCTAGACTAAAGCTAAGCTACGCAATCGCCTGGAAACCCTGGCCTGCTCCACCACCACCCGGGTCGTTCCTAGGGTCTCGATGCTGAGGATGAATGGTGGAACATGAGTCGTCGTTGTTGAGACGACTCATCATCTCATCGAAACTCTCCTTGTATCTCCTCTCCATTTCAGCTATTCGGGCTTCCAATTGAGTTTGGAGAGTTTGCACCCTGTGTTCCATCTGGTCTTGCATTTGAGAAATGACAGACGGCATGTATTGCTGTGAAGAACGGGAACCTCGACCTTGTTTGCCATAGTAGAGCTCTGCACTTTGGCCAAGTCCCTTCACACGCCCCTTCTTATTGCGCCCACCCACCGACTCCCAGTACAACTCATTGGGACTCTTCTGAATCCCTTGACTCCTTGTTTCTTCGAGCTTCTTCTAGTAGGTGTCCTACAAAATATTGAAGATAAAAAAAAATATTGTTAAAAAAACAACCAACAATATGGAGTTATATCGCATACTTTTAGGTGCCTATGGATAGAAATTAAGAAAATTAAGCACATAAGTCAATTTTCAACCCCCACTCATCCAAAATCATCCAAATTTGGGCTATATCGCTAAAATCATGCCTATTTTCTATGTTTTCAAGCAAATGTAAGGTTTCTTTATTCTAACATTCCATATCAGTTTCTTTTAAGTGCCTAAGGATAAAAATTAAGAGAAAAAAGCACATATGTCAAATATCGACCCTAACTCATCCAAAATCATCCAAATTTGGCCTATATGGCTAAAACCATGCCTATTTTCTAGGTTTTCAAGCAAATGTAAGGTTTCTTTCTTCTAACATTCCAATATCAATTGCTTTTAAGTGCCTAAGGATAGAAATTAAGAGAAATAAGCACATATGTCAAATATCGACCCTAACTCATCCAAAATCATCCAAATTTGGCCTATATGGCTAAAACCATGCCTATTTTCTAGGTTTTCAAGCAAATGTAAGGTTTCTTTCTTCTAACATTCTAATATCAATTGCTTTTAAATGCCTAAGGATAGAAATTAAGAGAAATAAGCACATATGTCAAATATCGACCCTCACTTATCCAAAATAATCCAAATTTGGCCTATATGGCTAAAACCATGCCTATTTTCTAAGTTTTCAAGCAAATGGAATCGTTCTTTCTTATAACATTCCAATATCACATACTTTTAAGTGCCTAAGGATAGAAATTAAGAGAAATAAGCACATATGTCAATGTTCGACCCTAACTCATCCAAATTCATCCAAAATAAGCATATATTGAGTTCTACTTTGCTAATTTGCCATATATCAACTCATATAATAAGTGTTTACCACAATCCTTTTTGCTTTGTTGTTGGAAGCCACTTGGCCTTTACCAGGCACTTCCTTGAAGTGTGTCTTCAAGAAAAGATCATGGGCATTTGGTAATTGGCCTTGGTTTTTTGCAGCCTTTATATGTACATGCAGAAAATCAATGAAAACATGTTAGCCCACCAAAATTCATTAATAGAAAAATGACATAATTGTTACTGGACATATTATAGGAACCTTACCATATTTTTAGCATGTTGTACAGATGACATTGAACCTTGAAAGTGGGTCGGTTCAACGACATTTTCCATGGATCCGCCTCTTCGGTTCTTCTTGTTTTGTTCCGACCGCTTCTGATATTTTGGATCGGTGGCAACAATTTTCATAATGCCTTCGTGGACATCCTTATTAAGCCATCTTGGTTTGCGAACATTCAGCCTGTGTGTGATGTTGTAGAACGTGTCACGTAGGCGATTTGCAAACTTTTCTTCGAAAGTGTCCTTCACTTGGTTGTTTAACTCAGGTGCCCACTTGAATTTTTTCTGCAAATTAAGAAAATGTCTTTATTACAAAATTCAACTCCATCAATATAATTTATAAAACATGTATTATGTTAGGTTAAAGTTATCATACGTTGAACAAGTTCCAAAAGTGCTCTCTCGAATCTTCATCAACCTCTCCATAATTCCTCCAAGGCTGAACATAGTAGCCGGTTAGCGAGTCGGAGAGTACATTCTTCACCGGCCTTTTATCAAACCTATAATAAAGGATAGACATTCATGTAAGTAGATAATCAACAAAAAGTGAACAAAACATGGTTAAAGTAATACAAATTCACTTTATCAAAGTAAATACGAATTTAAGGATATTTCATTATACAAATACATACGCACCAAAGTGTGGAAGGGTCCAACTCTAGCAAGTCATTAGGATGCGGGTCTTGTAGCTCCTGTTCCTGATGGTGCTGTTGCTCCTGTTGCCCTTGTACATTTCTGACGATTTCTTGAGAGGCCCCCAAATCATGTGCCTCCTCTTCCTCCATTGACTCATCCTCGTCAACACGTACAACCGGAGATTTCCCCTTAGACTTTCTCCTCTTGGACGTTTCTCCTTTATTTCCTCCTCCCATGATGACCACCTGAAAAAGTTGTTAGTACCATAATCGCACATTGTAAATTCATAAATTAGATCCATAAGACATTAAAATAATAAAATGAGACCAAAAATGTAATGCAATATTACAAGTCCGAGTAGTCATTAAAAACTAAACATTCGAAGACAATAGTAAAAGGAGTAACTAAATATTCTCCTCTTCATTACTCTTATCACTACTACCACTATCATTATCACTATCATTATTACTATCACTAGTTTCATTTAAAAATACATCGATGTCCTCTTCTTCGTCACTATCACTGGAGCCAATGCTTTCTTCTTCTTCTTCATCGCTTGAGATAATAAAGCCATCATCATCATCACTATCAACTTCATAGTCTGGAATGTCATTTGGTGGACAAAGCGTTGCATGTACTTGTGGTGAAGGACCCTGCAAAAACTCTAAATCCACCGGAGCATCAATCACCGACCTTGCTTGAGTTCTAAATACAGCCCACCATTTAACCCGATCACGTTTAAGGCTAGGGTAAGATGCATAATACACTTGAGACACTTGGTAAGATAAGACAAATGGATCATACTTGGGATACTTCTTAGTATGATTTACTTCGACAAGCTTGTATTGTTCATGAATGTTCATTCCTTTACCACAATCCATCCAACTACAACTAAACAAAATAGTCTTGTACTCTTTTTCGGGACCGGTGTAGACAAGTTCAATTATGTCGTTTAAAATGCCAAAGTACTCTCCACCGTCCTCACTTGAGACACACACCCCGTAATTCATTGTAGATTTGTGTTTTCCATAGGACTGTGTGTGGAAATTAAAGCCATCGACAAATATCTGGTTCCAAGTTCGAACACGCTTGAAAGGCCTCATAGACAATGCTCGCAACACATCGGAACTTGGTTTTTGTTCTCTCACCTATAACCGTTACGAATACAAGCGTCACACTAATTGAAATGAAATATATTATATTATATTATCACAAATTAATCGAGATGCAATATTCGAAAAGTATTATAACCTTGTGATGAAACCAATCAGGGAATTCACTTTCGCATTTCTCCATGACATCTTCTCAACGCAAATAAGTTCGAGTACTAAGAATGTAGTCCTCAAACTGCCTAATAGATTAATGACACATGGTTATTCATTGCATCAATTATATTAAATTTAAGGGATTTTCAAAAGTTTATCGTAAACATATATACCTTTCGTATTCACCAAGAATGCCGGTATTTCTTAAAACGAACAAATGAGCACGTTCGAGTTCCTTGTCATCTAAATACCGAGTTTTACCCAAATTTGACACATGACCCTTATCCACCGTGAACAGCTCTGGGATTTCATCGTTGTCAGCCGGGGATTCCACATCAGCATTCACATTTCAACCTAGATCTCGTGTTTTTGTGTCAACTGAGGGCTAAAAGTAATTGGAGCAGAAGTTTGATATCTCTTCAGTGAGATAAGCGTTGCATATGGAACCTTCAACACAAGCCTTATTACCAATTTTTCGTTTCAGGTGATTGAGGAACCTGTAATTATGTTTATGTAGCCATAGAAGTATAAGTAACGGAAATCAATGAAAGAGATGAAAGTAAGAGTTGAGAAAGGACCTTTGATTTACCTTTCGAAAGGATACATCCACCGATATTGAACAGGTCCACATAACTTGCCCTCATATGGAAAATGAATTGGTAAATGATCCATGGATTTGAAGAAAGATGGGGGGAAAACCTTCTCAAGCTTGCACAAGATCTCAACTATGTTTTTTTCCAATCGCTCCATGTCGCTAACTGTAATTGTGTAGCAACATAAATCGCGAAAGAATTGGCTTATCTCTATAATTGCATTCCATATATGGGTAGGGAGCAATTCTCTCAAAGCAGTGGGCAACAACCTCTCCATGAACACGTGACAATCATGACTCTCATTCCATGTAACTTACCTGATTGCAAATCAACGCATCGGCTCAAATTGGAAGCGTAACCATCAGGAAACCGCAGCTGTTTGACCCACTCACACAAAACCTTTCTCTGAGCCTTGTCAAGAGCAAATGGAGCCTTTGGCATGAATTCTTTTCCTCTATCATCCTCTTGAAGATGTAGCTAGGGCCGTTTACAGTATTTAGCAATGTCATTCCGAGCTGATGGGGTGTCACAAGCTTGCTTTTTCACGTCCATTATAGTGTGAATCAACTGATCAAAAAAGTTTTTTTCAACGTGCATGACATCTAAGTTGTGACGAACAAGCAGATGTTTCCAATATGGAAGGTCCCATAGAGTGCTTTGCTTGAACCACCCTTTTTTTGCATTCTTGAGACGTTTCAATGCCTCGGGGCCATCTGCTGCTTTCGGGAGGTTTTTCACACATTCCCAAAGTTCCTCTCCTGACATGATGTGAGGTGGTGAACCTTTTTCGACTTTGTTTTTACAAAATGCATTTTTACTATTTCGAAAAGGATGATTTATCGGAAGGAATTAACGATGGTAGTCAAACCAAGAAACCTTACCACCATTTTCGAGCCAAAATGCTTTGCTTTTCTCCATGCAATATGGACAAGCCTTCTTACTGGCTGTGGTCCAACCAGATAACATACCATAAGCCGGGAAGTCACTAACGGTCCATAGGATGGCTGCTCGAAGATTGAAATTTTGTTTTCTCGAAATATCGTAAGTATTTGCCCCACTTTCCCACAACTGTTTCAACTCGTGTATGAGTGGCTGCATGTAAACATCCAAGTTTCCCTTAGGGTTTTTAGGACCCGAAACGAGTAACGAAAGAAACATGAACTGTCTTTTCATACACATTGACGGAGGCAAGTTATACGGGGTCAAAATGATAGGCCAACATGAATACTGTCCCCCAAACTGACCATGTGGAGCAAATCCATCTGTACATAGGCCAAGTCGAACATTACGAGGTTCAGAGGAAAACTCAGGAAAGAAACTATCTAGGTGTTTCCACGCTTCACTATCGCTAGGGTGTGCCATTGTGCCTTGAACTCGAGGATTTTTAGCATGCCATGTCATTTCCTCAGAAATGTTTTTAGTTGCAAAAAGCCTTTGCAACCTAGGTGTGATAGGGAAATAAAATAGAACATTCAAAGGCACTAAGCTACCTTTAGAAGTCTTCTTGTATCGGTCGCTGCCACACACCCTACATGTAGATAATTGAGCATCATCTTTCCAAAACAACATACATCCTTCCGGGCATGCATGAATCTTTTCATAGGGCAGCTCTAACCCCTTAACAATTTTCTTGACCTCATAGAATGTCTCGGCCATGTGGTTGTTGTTACGAATCGCTTCATTAACCAAAGAAGCAAATCCATCAACTCATTTGTGCGGCAAATTATACTCACACTTTAGGCTAGTGATTCTAGAAGCCATCTCTAACACAGACAATGAACTCCCTTCGTATAACGGTTGTTGAGAAGCCCTTAACATATCAAAAAATGGCTTGGCTTGTGCATTAGGCTCCTCCTCTAATGAAACAGGTGGCTATTCGGAATGGCCTTGATCTTGAGACTGACCAAAGGCATCCAAAACCATTTCACGATATTCATTTGACTCCCTTCTACAAGTTCCTGGAAACCCTTCCCCATGACACATCCACTCGTAGTAATTAGGTAAAAAACCGCTGCGATACAAATGAAGTTTGACCGTATCTGGATCCCAGAGACGTTTGTTTTTGCATTTAAAACATGGACACCTAACTTCATTCGGGTTGCTACTCTCAGGATGATCTTCCACATATTTAAGGAATTCATCTACCCCCTTCAAGAACTCAGGATTAATAGAATTCCCAACCTTCCTTTCGTACATCCAGCTACGTTCTTTTCGTTTCATGATTACAAGTTCTACACAACTAACACATATGCCATTAATCACATCAGTCATAAATCACAATATATATTCATTATAGATCAAACTATTATGGAAATGCAAATGAGAAGAGAAATGATTTCCAAGGGTCCTTATCACTCCAACCTAACCCATCCTTGTACGTTCAATCTCACTAGTGAATGTATGCCAGAATTTCAATTCTATGGAAAATCCGGCAGCATCTCCCTACAGTTCCCCGAGTACACAATATAGGCGATTAGAAACACCTATATGTGTACCTAGAGAACATTATAGAGAAATGACAAGCAAGGATCTTCCTTAGAATTAAAACAAAGGAATACATTCACCACCTAAGTGAGAATAAACGTACAAGGACAGTCCCAACCGGGGACTATTCAAGACATAATCCTAATGTGTATGCCTTGAACGGGTATCTAGGTATATGATTATGCAAACGATTTTTTAAAAAATATTAAAACTAAACTAACATACAAAAAATTATACAAATATATCATAATTAAACTTAACATAAACAAACATATCATAAAACCATAACATTAATATAAACAAATCAAACCAAACAAAACCAAACTAAACTAACATATCATAATATTAAATATAGTAACATGCATTATAAAAAATTAAACTTAAGTAAGAAACATTATATTAAACTAAACAAAACTAAACTAGATTATAATAAACTAAAGTAATCTAACATACATCATATTAAACAAAACAAACAAAACGTACCTAAAGTTTCATAATATTAAACTAATCTAATATTCTTTAGTAAAACTAAACTAAATTAAACCACATTATATTAAAATAAACTAAACTAAAATTTCATAATATTAAACTAATCTAATATACTTTAGTAAAACTAAACTAAATTAAACCACATTATATTAAAAAAAAAAACTTAACTAAACTAACATACTTACAAAAAGATAAACTAAACTAAACTAACATACTTACAAAAAAAAAAAGTTAACAAAACTAAACTAAAACACATTATATTAGAAAAAACTTAACTTAACTAAGTTATGTTAAACAAAATCAAACCAAAGTAACATACATACAAAATATTAGAGTTTGTAATGTGACTAACCTTTAGATCTGCACTTCTTTTTGACAATCAAACAATCTAATTGTACAAATCCTTCAAAATATTTAAAAATAATATATTAAATAAATAAGGGTTTATTATTTAACAAAAAAAAATTAAAAAAAAATTGGCATGACTCAAACCTTGGCGCGGCGCCGGCAACGACAACCATCCACGGGGAGGGAAGGAAGGAGGCCGGAGGTCGGAGGCTGCGGTTGTGGTGGTCGAAGCAAAAAAAACTCAGATTCGAATGAAAAAAAAAACAAAAACCAAAAATAAAAGGTGTACACTGACCTGACGGCGGCAGTTGCGTGACGGAGGGTTGTGGTTTGGGTCACCGACGGCGGAAGAAACGTGCGGCGACTTCTCCTTCCCTCTCTCTTTCTCTCTCCTTTTCTTTCTTCTGTGCCTCTCTCTTTCTCTCTCCTTCTCTTTCGTTCACCGGGGCGTCGCCGGAAACCACCAGGAACGCCGCGTTCTTTCTTCTCTTTCCTTCTCTTTCTCTCTCTCCTGCCGCTACTTCTCTTTCTCTCTCTGCGTTTCTTTCCCCCTTTTTTTAAGGTCAAGGATACAAAATTAAATTTCAAATATGACAATGAGTTTTACGATGGAAATAAGTTCCGTCGTAATTATAAACTTATTGCGACGGAATTTTCCGTCGTAAGTTTATAATTACGACGGAACTTATTTCCATCGTAAATTCTACGAGGGAAAATGCCTCGTAATTGTAATTTTCCGTCGCTAAATTGCGACGAATTTTGTTCCGTCGTAATTACCAATCTTAACGACGGAAAAACATGTCCGTCGTAAGTATTCCGTCGCAATTTAGCCTATTTCTAGTAGTGAAAAGGAGATAAAGTAATCCCTTTGGAATCTTGTACCAGATCTGAAACCCCCTTTGGCTTCTTTTTTTATCCTAAAAATTACTCACCTCTCAAAAACTTTCCCGGCACCTCTCCTTGTTTTCCCTCTAACAATGAAGCTCCTATTCAGAATCAGTCACCATCAATAACCTCACCTACATTTCAGAAAGTGACCCAACCTTGTACCAGTTCATAGTCTGGTGTGTAACCTTCGGGCAAATCAACCAAGTCCCATACTTGATTTTTAAACATGGAGTCCGTCTCAAATTTCATGGCTTTTTGCCATATATCAGAGTTAGGGCTCGCCATAACTTGCTTGCTGGTTGCCATATATCAGATTTCATGGCTTTTTGCCATATATCAGAGTTAGGACTGAGCATTTGCATCGTCGGTTTGATTTTTCACAGTTTCACCAACGTCAACTGATGCTGTTTGAGCACTTTGACTGTTAATTTGATTTTGTTACTTGTCCTGTCGAACTTCATTAAGTTCGATTTTTCTCCCACTTGTCATTTTGGAAAGGTGTTCCTTCTCTAAAATGACACCATTGCGAGCAAAAAACACTTTGTTCACAAATTTGTTGTAAAAGTAATACCCCTTGGTATCTTTTTGATATCCCACAAAGAAACACTTATCAGATTTAGGGTGAAGTTTGTCAGAAATTAATCTTTTGACATAAGCTTCGCATCCCCAAATCTTGATAAAAGACAATCGTGGAAGTTTCTTCATCCATAATTCATATGGAGTCTTTTTGACAGCTTTTAAAGGAGCACAATTCAGTTTTAGTGCCGCAGTTAGAAGTGCATATCTCCAGAAATAGATAGGAAGATCACTAAGACCCATTTTTTATCGTACCATGTCTAACAAGGTTCTCGGATACTTCGTTCCATTGTAGAGTTCCTAGAGGTGTCAATTCTGAAAAAATACCATGTTGACGCAAGCAAAATGCAGTTCGTTTTTTACCCTTTCCTAAAGCCAAACTAAATTTGTAAAAACTCGACCAACCTAATACGAGAATATGGTAAGTCAAGGGTCGAACTGAAAGGAATGAGTAGGTGTAAGCTATAGCCTATGTCAAGCTACTTTGAAGAATGTAGAAGGTTATGGTTGGTAACTAAGGTCTTGAGATAGCTAAAATAATCGAGAAATTCATTATACTAAACACTAGGGATATAGGCTCCACATGTAAGCTCAGTGATTATGCTAATTAATGGATCACTCAATCAATTCAAACATTACAAAGGACAAACAATAGTTGCAATAGAGGGTATCAAACTTTCTAAAACAACAATGGTAAGCACGTTCTAAGATATCGAGGGTTGATTGAAACATAGGACATGCTAAGTATAGAGAACTACCAAAACGCAATTCACTTTCATCTAAAATTTTTTTTAGCACATTTTCCCAATTGGCTTCAAATCTTCTTTCAGCAAGCATCTATATAGTTCCTCAAAGGAACCGAAAAAATAATAGATTTGAGGTTTTCTTGACATCTTGACATTGCATCCCCTCTCCTTAGGCTTTAACTCATAATGCAATCCCTCGGTATATGACTCAACCACTAGGTCAAAAGGGCTTTTCCAAAGGTTTTAACGTAAGGGCAAAAGGTTAAGGGTAGGCTTAAAATTTAGAATTTGGTGGTACACCTAAGTTGTAAAGCAAAGATAGGCCAAATCTCAACACCAAAACCAAGTGGTCACCAAACAAAAAAAAAAAAAAAAACTAACACCCCCAAGCTTATTCAAAGCTATACCTACAATCATATATATAAAAAGCGTAAGACGCTTCCTCCCAAGCTAGAAAATAGCATTGTCCTCAATGCTTAAAAATAAGGAGATACGTTTACATCAAAATGTTTTAAACTTTTCATTTTTCACTTTTTTTCAATTGTGCCAAAGCTAAATGAAATTGCTTTGCTTTTTCTCAACTTTTCAAGTTTAAACACATTCATTTTTAGGGGGCGCTGACTTTGCATTGACTTTTCTCTTTTCTCTCTCTTCCATGGTTATGTGATTTTGATGGTTCTTCTTCCTTGAGGTCGTTAACAATGGCAAGAAAGAAGAAGCAAGCTACTCCTCTCCCCTAAACTGTTGTAAAACAGACTCATATAGCTCCTATTGATAAAATTTTGTAAAGTTTAAGGAATTATGGGACTACTTTCAACCCAACTTCGATTGATGAAACTGAAGAACTTGTTACCCCAGCTCCTGGGTTAGTTCATCCATCTGCTAGAATGTTTCCCCGTAGTGATGTAGAAATCATTGCTGCAGCTGAGGGTATCAATTTTGGCTTGATTTCAAAGGAATCCAATCGAACAGTAACTAGGGTTTCTCCGATTAATGTTCCATTGGATCCTAATCTCGATATTGCTTCTTTACCTAAATCGAGTGTTTCCATACCAAATGCTGATATGCCAATCCTGGTGGTGTGGATCCTCCTGATTCAAGTTGGGAGACTTTATTCCGAGGGAAACTTGCTGCAAAAGGATCTGCTCTGTCCTATGTTGCCCCTGTTCTTAAGAAAGGTAAGCCTGTTGCAAAATTGGTTACTGCTGATTTGCTAGAGGGTAATAAGAAGTGGTGTAATGATGTAATATTCTATGTTATGGGGTATTACCCTACCATGCTGCTGTTCATAGGTTTATAGCACAGAATTAGAGTGATTTTAAAAAACCAGAAATCTTCTGGCATGATGATGGTTATTTTATCATCAATTTACATTCTGCAGCTAATATGAATACATTGTTATGCTCTGGGCCACATATGTTTTATGGGAAACCAGCTATTGTTAAACCTTGGAGTGAGAAGTTTGATTTTCACTCTAAAGTGCTCAGAACAATTTCTTTATGGGTCAAGCTCCCGAACTTGCCCTTGAACTGTTGGGGAACTGATACCCTAAGCAAAATTGGTAGTCTATTGGGTGTGCCTATTTGTGCAGATGAGTGCACTTCTAGGAAACTTAGGGTGTCTTTTGCTAGGATTCTTGTTGAAATTGATGTGACTAAGGCCTTACCTGATTCTGTCTGGGTTGAGGGACCAACTGGTGATATTGTTGAGCTAAGGGTTTAGTTTGAATGAAAGCCTCTATTTTGCAAGAAGTGTGATAAGGCTGGCCATGATTAATCTTCTCCTAAGGCTACTCAGAAACAAGCTGCTCCTGCTCAGAAAGAAGCTGCTCAGACATAAAAGCAAGTTTGGAAGCCTAAAACTAAGCCTGCTATTTCCCAGGTAACTGTTACTCAGCAAAATGGAGCTAAACCTGCTAATCCACCTATGACTACTCCTGCTCAAGATAATCAATTGGTCAATTCTGATGATGGGGGGAGATTGGTGGGTAAAAAGACCAAGTCTTAGACTACTAGGCAATCACAGCATGTGGTTACTAGAGTTAATGCTTATAATGTGTTAATGGCTGATGAGGTGGCTTCTATTCCTATCGGGGTGATGGTAATCCCCCTCTGGTGCCATGATTATTACAAATTGGAATATTAGGGGCCTTAATGACCCCAATAAAATAACTGCAGATAAGCAGCTGCTTAATGATCACTCAATTGATGTTATAGCTATTTTGGAAACTAAAGTTAAACTTCATAAGTTTGATCTATGAAAAAGAAGTTTGGTAAAGCTTGGGATTGGACTTGCAACTATTCTTTCTCTCCTAAAGGAAGGATATGGGTTGGCTGGAAACCTGATGCTGTCTCTCTTGATGTTATTGCAGTTAATGAGCAATTCATTCATGTTGTTATCACTACTGATGATCAACAACACCAAATTTCTTAGCATAGGTCTCTTATGTTGTCTGGCATTAAGGCCTTAGGTAATATTCAATTGCCTTGGCTTTGTATTGGTGATTTTAATTCTGTTTTGGCTTTTGAGGATGGATTCAATGGAAATCCAGTTACTGATTATGAGGTTAAGGATTTCAATGATTTTATTCATGACTTGGAACTTGTTAAATCAAGAGTAAAGGTTCTTTCTACTCTTGGAAAAATAAAGGTCATGGTATGGATAAGACTGCTTCTAGAATTGATAGAGGTTTGGTTAATGAGGCTTGGTTGATGACATATTGTTAAATTGAGGTTGTCTATCATCCTCCTTCTCTTTCTGATCACTATCCTATTCTTGTGGATATTGTTCATTTTATTGCTGGGAAAGGCAAACCTTTCAAGTTTTTGAATTGCCTTGCTTCTCATAAAGATTTTAAAGAGGTTGTGTCTTCTCATTGGGATGTTCCTGTTACTGGAAGCTCTATGCTGCAAGTTTGGAAGAAGCTAAAATCTGTCAAGATTGGTCTTAAAAGTTTGAATACTAAACATTTTGCTAAGGTCACTGACAGGTTAGAAGAGGCTAGGCTTTCCTTGGTTGAGGTTCAATCTCAGTTTGCTGATGATATTACTAATGCTTCTCTTTAAGCTCAAGAATCTGTTGGAATTGAGAAGGTGAAGTATTGGATGAACACTTGTGAGAGTATCTTGAAACAGAAATCTAGAGTTGATTGGATCAAGCTTGGGGCCTCTAATTCTACTACTTCTTTTCTGTTCTTAAGCAAAGACAGAATAGGAATAGAATTGACTCCATTTACGCCAATGATGATGTTTTGATAAAGGATCCTAATTTGGTTCAAGCTGAAATTCTCAGTTTTTATCAAAATCTATTAGGTTCTGCTGCTAATACT